TGCCCCTTCCTTCTCTTGCCCTTTCTTCACGTCCCTATAAAACAAAGCGCACTTGGCTTCAATGGCACATTCAACGTCTTTCCGTCTTCGCAAATTCGTGTCCTGACATTGTCGCAACATTTCCTTGTTCTGGTAAATATCGTAGAAAATCACCGTGTCTATTCAATTCTACGCAACTAGACGCACACTTGGAAAAGTATCATCTTCTTAGGGTGAGCACCGAGTGCACTGTAAATGCTTTCGTAATGGTCATCCGTTTTCTTTATTATAAATACCATCTACTTATGTATATACATACATTGTATATATAATACAACACATCTGTGTACTCTAGATTTTTTCTTTTCCTTCCTGTACACGATCTTCTTTCACGAGAACAATTACCAGATACGATACTACATATGTACAGGTTACATCAAATATAGAATGAGAGGAGAGGAGAGAAGAAAAGAGAAGCGATGAGAGAAAAGGTGGGCGGGGGTGATGGAAGAAACGAGAGAAGGGTGGAGACACACCCAGGCAGATAGGAGGAAACCAGATATATATGCTAATATATAGCATACATACATATATATATATATACAGTTTGAAGCTTCGTTTTTGAATTATTAACGAAAAACACTGGCCAATTACAGCGCGCGTAGAGCCCGCGCTCAGGGGCGAAGAACAGAGGCTATTTCCAGACCTTCGCTATTTTCTTCACGATTCCGACTAATTGCAGTTTTTTCAAAAATTTATACAAATGTCAGAATGACGGCAAAAACCCATTTCTCTAAGCCTTATAAAAATAACGGTGCAAAGTCAAATTTTTTTGACAGCATCGATAACCGAGAAATGACGCGTACGCATCATGTTCGATCGCGCGCGGGTGAGCCTGTGTTCTTCGTCCCTGAGCGCGAGCTCTACGCGCGCTCTGATTGGCCAGTGTTTTTCGTTAATAATTCAAAAATGAAGCTTCAAACAACATTTTGGTAAAGGAAAAAGTTGTTCAGAGTCACCTTAAATCAAAATTATTTTCGATTATTCTCTTCTTCGGTGTAGATGACGATGTACTTATAATTTATGCAACAAATTCCTAACACCAAATTGAAAAACAGTATACGATAGCGATCTAGATGATAATCGAAAGACTTTTACGTTAGCTCGCAGAAAATAGAGAAGTCACGCTTAAAGTACAAATGAACACTTGGTCGATGATCGGTCTTCTTGACCAATTATCAGCAAATTAGCCTTGATGCGGTATTTTCTGCGCATTACCTGAAAATAAACAATGGTTGTTTAATATTTCCATAAGGAAATAGAATTTTGCTTGTTTTTCTGTATCATGCAGCTGGCAAACAAGCTTTTGCAGCGCGCCCCGTTCAGAAAAAGTTGATCGTTTCGCGAATTTCAAAGGTTACACACCGAAACATTTACTGGAATCCAGTCCAGTAGGGACTGGAAGAAATTTTGATATGGACATACTTACGTTCATGTATATATATATGTATATATGTACTGTACAATGTATTGTACAATTTATAATAAAACCGAGTACAATTTCGGAATTTTCAGTTGCACATAGAACCAAGCGCCTTAAATAATGTTTCAACTCTGGAAGTGTAGCGATTTTCGAATGGAGAAGAACATATGCATCCAAGTGTATTATCGATCTCGTGTACGATCGAGTGAGTATGTAGTCACGACGCGACGCGACGAGAGGCTGAAATGAATCCACGATCCTCACAGAAAGGGGTTCCATTTCTCTTTTACTATTATACATATATATATTTTCGGCAATTCGCTTGATTAAGTAAATTTTCCAGCTGTTTAATCTGTTGAAATTGGTTGTGGAAATCAGTGAAACTGTTTCCCGAGTACCTATTTACATATGTATGTATGTATGTATGTATAGTAACACTGGTCTCAAAGGCACACCTCCCCTACTCTTTCCAAAGACATTTCTTCTCACGGTGCGCGAGCAAAGATAAACATAAAAGAATGATTTTGCAACAATCTAAATGGTGTAAAAATAGTAGCTTCTTACGGTTTCGCATCGTTCTCAATTAAGATCGTTAATCGTTGGTTGCGCGTGAGTTAATTGCGAAAATAGGACGAACCAGAGGATGAACCATAGGATGGTTCGAACGAGACTGACGAATTTAAATCTAACCTAAATTTCTACAACTTACATCGTATTTGAAAATTATATTTCCAAATACCTACTATCGTTACCTTTCTTCTTTCCCTTTCAACTTCCTCTTCTCTCTTCTCTTTTGTTTTTCGTCACATTTACATATACAGAGTACAGAATCGACTTGGAGCTGACTTGATCCAACGAAATAAAAATGAAAAATGTGAAACGAGAGAGTGAGTAAAGCGGAGTGAAAAAAATGCAACCGCAAATTTAGCATTGTTCACACATCTCGACGTAAATTCTTTTTCCCCATTGTTACAATTGAATTCGCGAAGGGGGCGGGGTGTGTTGGTTCTCCCTTTCAATAGTCTCTCCTTTAAGTACAGGCTTTTGCACAACCACCACCCTCCTATCAAATAGAAACGTACATGTATGTACTTATGTAGGTATATCAACGATTAGATTCACGTATCATAAAAATTTCACATTAAAATTTCCTTCAACGGATCGCATTAGAGATTCGGATAGAATTTTTCATAGCAGCAAATAAATCTCTCTCGGTGTTTCTTAGGAATTCAGTTAAGTATACAGTATACAGTTAAGTATACAGTGAATATGTATGTATATGTAAATATACGTGTATGTATGTATGTGCCCTTTGATTTAAGAATCGATCGTATACGTTCAAGTTTTGTTTCAGATTTACCAAGCGAAATAATGCCTGAGAGCCGAACTATCCGCATAGCCATACTGCTAGCCGTTGTCCTTCTGTAAGAATTTCAAAATCTATAGCTCGTTTATGCTCGCGAGCGCGTTACGATTTCGGAAAAACAACTTTGTACATACTCTCTTTGTTCTTGTTGGTAAAAAAAAAACGCGTGACTTATGCGTGTGTTCATCATTCGTTCATGTCCGTAAAAGAGATACATATGTATTTATTTATGTACGAATATCGCGCGGTGCTCTATATCCTCGCCATCGTCATATGTGGAAATCCAGGACTAACAAGTTGAACGGTGTTACGAGTGATAATAACGTGTTTGATTCGTTTAGGTTCGACAAATGTTCCGGTTACCCATCTATTATGCAAGAGGTGGGACCGCATTGCAAAGGTTGCGGCGACTCTTGCCAGAGATGTGAATTTGGTGTGGTAATGTCGAATGATTGTAACATTCCACAATGCGCAATGGCAAGTGATCGAATATCGGTGCTTCGTTAAGAAATTTCGGGAATAGGTAGGAACGAGATCGTTCCGATAAAAATCGTATGTATTTTTACAGGGCCCTGGTCAATCGTGCGGAAAACATAGCATATGTGGCGAAGGCATGTATTGCAGCTGTAACAACAGATGCGTCGGTTGCAGTTCGAAAACATTCGCATGTTCCACGCTGGATCCTTGTGTGCACCCTTATGCTAATAGATTTGGAAGATTGTCCATTACTACTGTCGCGTAAATCGATATGATATACATACCTATACACATATATTTATCGCTAATCGGACGGTTAATTGATTATCGGAGCGAAATCGGATCTAAACATTGTTAAAGTAAAGAAAAATACCGGAGGAGGATTAAACGCAGGATGATTTTATTTCGCCAACATTGTTAAATATTCACGAAAATTGACAACGTGCTGCAATCAAGAGGTTAAGCTAAGCTTTGGATCGACGTCGCGTCGGTCTAACAAAGCTAATATGTAACAACTAAATAAGCGAAAGGAGGCGAACTCGGTGATGAGCACTCACCCTCTCTCGCCCTCTCACTCACTCTCTCTTCCTCTCTTTGTGTGCACAAAGTAAAGAAAGGGGACAAGGAAAGATAAGAAGAAGAAGAAGGGATAGAAACGAAGTGTGCAGCGAAATAGAAAAGGGTAGGAGAGGAGCGAGCGACTGAGTGAGTGAGTGAATCACCGAATAAAAGTCTTCTACCGTTACATACATATTCGTTTCTTTCTTCCTCGAGCAATACGAGTAGTTTATTTCTGCCTCGAACATGAATCATCATTAATTAAAGTACTTGAAAATTCTATTCGACGAATTTTATTCCGTTCGACGTATGTACATACATAAGTAAATACGTACGTACTTAGTCAACTGGTATTTTAATTGTAGAGAGATAGATAGGTACTTACGTATAATTTGGAGAACTAGAATGGAGAACAATCGGAAAGGAAAAAGTTCCAACCGGGGGACCAACAGCGTTTCTTTTTATCGTTTTTTACAAATGTACCGTAGCGAAATGTAGCACGCGTATTATACATACATATAGACACGTTGTGAATGAAACATCGAAGTAAATACATAGTTGTCTCATGTATTAAACTATTAACGCCGCATGTCTTGCATTTCGTAAATAAAAACAAAGCGAAACACGTTCGATCTTATTGGTAAACGTTCGGTGGTATGATCTAATTTCGTAATACCTTTTATATACCTTTTTTCACTATGTATCATTTCTCTCCCTCTCTACATATGTATACATATGTATATTGATAGATGTCGAAGATATTTTCATCTTGTTCCTACGATATATGCATACATATGTACTTACATAAGTACATAAATAAATATGTACGTAAATCTCTTTTTCTTTTCTGATTGTAACCCCGTGTACAAAGAATTTTCAAAATCCACCCATGCCATGCAACCAGCTTCGTCATATAAAAGCGGCAAACACGAGTATATGTATGCATAACCAGTTTATTTTTGCGTACCTCCAACAACATTCGCAATCGGTGATACGAATATTAGAAATGTTAATTAATCGGTGATTATGTTGCTGCAGAATTTCGTTCAAGCATTACTGTGAAAAACGGTTCAACGGTAACTGGTTACTGGTCGAATATTTTCATGGCTCGCAAAATAGCAGTGTCAATGTCGTTGCCAACATCGTCGGTACTCACTCAGATGCTATTTCGATTGTTCCTTGATAATTATGGATCCATTCGCAACGCACAAATACCCACCCCACTCCACTTTCGATACCGAATTTCGTTGAATTGCGACTGCGACTGCGACCATACAAATTAGTGCTACACGAGATGCATGTAATGCGTAAAATTGTAAAAAAAAAGAAACCAAAGAAACACGTCTCGCCATTGCTACAAATTATTTTCATTATATAATTTTCTTTTCGCAATCGTTCCTGGTTACACGAAAATAGGATTCGTTATTTCGACCGTTAGAATCAGCACAATGAGAATGTAATCTCATGTAAAAGCGAAAAGGTCTGCCACACGTACATATGCATGTGATTTAATTGTTAGCTAGCAGCGTGTCAAGCCAAGTGGTTAAAAGAGAAAATTCCTCCTTCGAATCTTACTCGATCGTAATTGTCCGATGCATAATTAAGAAACGAGATGTAAGTAGGTATGTACTTGCAAGAGTAGGGAAAACATACGACAAGAAAATAATGCAACATTGTTTTATCAACCTTCCGATTGTGAATCATCTTGCTGGTTGAATTCTGCTCGCGGCCTGTCAAACCGTATCGGTTGTCTCTTTCGCACCAGAAATCCTCGAACTCGAGCTTGAATTATTACTGCCGACTTCTCTTCCAAAGATTCTCGAGTTGTTTTCTGTTCGTTCAAAATCGACGATCGTTCTTCTTTCTCCTCTGAACGATGTCGTTTACTTTTCTCCCGATTATCCAAACATTTTAACTGCTCGCCCTTTCTCAAATTTTCCAATCGTTTTCGAACACAATAACCCCGAAAATTTGCTTGAATTTTCGTCGCTGCTACACTTGCTTTCGCCGTGCCGTCGTCTTCCATGGAACTGTCTATCTCGGTACGATCGTATAAAAGTGATATTTACGTGATAAATTACACGTATACGCGTTAAATTCACCTCCTCTTTCGTATTATTTATGTCTTTAACATGCCATTTGTCCCTTGATCGATACCATCGATCGATCTATTTTATTCAATTTTCCAAGAATACATGTATGTATGTAAAACTGAAGCGTCGATCGGTAAAAGAGACAGTGATGAGAAATGGATCACAGATGAAACTCCAACTCGAAGCGCCGCTAAACTAACGCAATCAATCGTTCAGCCGCGAAAAAGGGAACAAACACTCGCTCGCTCGCCACACTGCATAGCAATCGCGTAACTCGTTGAAAATATGTTCTCCCTCGCTGTTAACTCGCGTTCGCGCATGCGTTTTCTTTCACGCTTTCCAACTGGTTCACACTCTTTTCCCTATCAACAATACCTGCAGCGTAAGTACTTTTCATCTTTGCGGTTCCTCTTATTTAAACGATTCAGCCGTAACCTTGCCGTGCCGTGCCGTGCCGTACCGTGCCGTGCGTACACTTTTCGGAAATGCGAAATTAAACTCGAAATGCAAAATTGTGCGAAGGAAGATTAAAATGTGAAGAATGAACCGATCTTTTTCTACAATGAAATACATAAATATGTATTTTACTTTTGGAATGCGTTGAAAAGCAGATCAACCACGTCGACAAAGTGAAATTCCTAAGAATTTTTCAACTAATCTAAGAATTTCAAAAAATCTAATAACCACCATTTCCACTCTGGACAAATCACCGATATATCCCTACTTATTAGTCACCATTCTCAAAATACAAATGTTTTTGGTATTACACATACATATTTAGCATCAGAGAGATTGCCGTGCAGCAATGTTACCTCATACCGATCGTTTTTTGTTGCACAACTACTTGCTATAATCTACCGTTTCACAATTTTCCTCTCACTTATTATTTAGTGCTTCTGCATGTTTCTCTTCCTCTTCCTCACCCTCTTCTTCAGCAACGGTATCCCGAAAAGTAGAAGAATCAGCGGATGTATTTACAAACAAATTGTGACTGCCGACAGACCGCTTTGTTTCGCAGATCAAGATAGATGCCGATGCCGATGATACAGGAAGTAACATTTTTCTTTTTCCGTTAAGGTCGTTCGGATTATAATACTGTTTCTTGGATGGACTTTCTTGAACTAGTATTGAAAAATCTGCATCTGCCTTATAGAGCGACGACGATATCTGTTCCTTTTCTTTCTCAATATTCGAAATTTCTTCTATAACAATAGACGGCTTTGGTGTATTATCAAGTGCCAGTGGTTCGCGAGGATCGTCAGTTGCATCACGTGCTTTATGAAAGGCACGCTCCACGAGGGGAATTACGATACCGGGTGAAATATTTAAACGTGATTCAGTTCGAGCATGTTTCAAGAGATCAGCAGCAGCAGCAGCAGCAGCAGCAGCACCACCATCACCACCACCACCACCACCGTCGTAAGGAACAGTCAGTTGAAAAGATTCCGAATCTTCGTTCAAGTTAGATCGGCGAGTAGTAAGGCAGGAATGTCTTGTCTGTTCAGACGTACCTCCTCGGTTGAAATTGTAAACGTCCATGGTGAAAAGGACAGGTAACGGGAACGAATCGTGAAATTCTCCGCTATGCCGTAAATTAGTCATTTCCGCGTCCTTCCTTCCATCTGACTTTCTACGTTTCTTCCATTCCCCCGTTTTCGATCCTTCGTCGTGACCGTTTCTATTCAAAACTCTCCTTACATTCCCTATTCGTTCCTAAAAAGCAAAGGAAAATTTTGGAAAATTACCACTGTCAATTATACCTAAGTAATTAAGTAGCTAGCGTACATTTCTATCCTTCGTTTAAGAGGTGTGACTACGAAACGAAGAAAGAAAAACAGGGTATAATTTTTATGAAATCGAACAAAACCTACATCGATAAATTATACGTGTCATAAAGCGACATTGAAAAAATTGTTAATTTATAGCGTTAATTGGCAAAATTATTTTCAATATGAATAGACGTGGATTGTCGTTTAATCAAATGCGAAAACAATTGGAAAAATCGGTAGTGGAATACTTGCTTCTGCTTCTTCCGTCTCCCTCTCCTCTCCTTCATCTTCCTTCCTTCCCTCTTCATTCCCCCATTTTGCCTTACGTACTTGAGCATTCTTATCAATTTCGTCTCGATGAGAATATTCTTCGATCACTGTTCCAGGTGTTGTTAATTCTCGTACGGATGGATGAATTTCATTCCTATTATTCGCTTCACGTGTAGAAATCGCAAGTAAGGATACCGAATTGTTTCCCTCAAGTATCGACGCGTCGTGAATAAAATTCTCTATCAGTTCTCGTGCAATCTCCTCTTCGACGTTATGGAAATATCTTCCATCTTTATCGCTAACGAGTGCATCGGTAGGCTCGTAATCCTGATACTCCAACTTCCCAACTTCATTCTCCGAGGACAAAGTACCACCGTCGATCGATGTTCTTTTCCCAGAGGCTAAGGTGGTGGTGGTGGTGGTGGTGGTATCGGGAAGAGAAGGTGAAGAAATATTTTCACATTCGCAACAACTAACGTCTTGCTTTTCCGATTGATTTTCAAGATTCTTCGAATCGCTTCGTTCAAACGAAGATGATATCGTCGTGTCCCTTATCGTTAGAGAATCCAAATTCAGTTCAGGTACAAACGGATGAGTTTCATCATTGGACTCTGCTCCTTCCTCCTCCTCCTCCTCCTCTTCTTCTTCTTCCTCGTTTTTCGCCACAACATCACTCGTATGTCCTTCTTGTTTAGCCGTGCGGCATTCTATCAATAGTAGTGTTTCATCATCGGTTCTCGTATTCGTGAAAATATCAGATGGCGCCTTCTTAATTGCAACCTCATTTTGATCATCCCGTTCGACATCGTTCCTATCCTCCTTCTTCTTCTTCTTCTTCTTCTTCTTCTTCTTCTTCTTCTTCTTCTTCTTCTTTAATGTTTCCAAGATCTTGATAAGCAGACGTTCGATCAACAACGTACGGTTTGACATTCACGCTCGTCGAATAGTCAAACATCTCTGGACGTACGTATTCACCGAAGGGATCTGTCGTTGTATCGTGTCGATGATGCTGCTGCTGCTGTTTTTCTACCTCTTCCCAAGATGAAGAAATTGCTTTCACCTTCGGACGAGGAGCAGCATTCTCGATCGTCTCTATTCTTTTCCCAATCATTTTCTCCGGTATAATTACGGTGGTTACTGTTTCTGGTATTTCGCAAGGGGATCCTTCCGTAAGCACGTAAGAAGAACGGTCAAAATGTACAATACTAGACGTTTCTCGGAAGTTCAATTTGTCGGTATTGGTATTACGAGTACCGTCATCGCTCAACAATACTTCTGAGTTGCCATCTCTTTCAGTTGCCATCTCAGTTTCATCCTCAATACTACTCTTGCTGTTATCTCTATTGTCACCGTTCGACACATTCTCTATCATCGCCGTTTTGCTACAACTCTTTTTCTTCCTCTTCTTCTTCTTCTTCTTATTCGCGTTTTCTGCCATCTCATCTTCCACGTTCGACACCTGTCCGTTTTTCATTTCGTTTGCTTCCACATCTGTTGTTGAAATGTTATCACAAGTTGTAATCGTTCGAGAGGAGGAGGAGGAGGAGGAGGAGACCAGCGTCTGTTCGATACTCTTCTCGACTGTTTCAATCTCCATCAATCTCCTTTTAAGTTCGTTCGATCGACAATTCGATTTCTCGCTTTCTTCCTCCTCCTCCTCTCCTCCCATTTTCTCTCTTTTTTCTTCATCGTCAATCACAACCGTAAACCCGTTCTTTTCTTCCAAACCATGTTCCAACGAATCTAGTCTCTGAGAATGATCGATCGAATCTGGCGTAACGTTTAAACTATCCTTGAAAGCTTCCTCGATATCTGTCGTTTCCTGTGAACCTGAACCACGTCGTATAATTCCTAGTTCTTCCAACACTTCCGTTCTATTACCGTCATACTTGTCATGCCAAGCATCCACCACCCACGGTGCGATCTCGTTTTCGTTGCTCCCCGCGTGCTCCTCTTCCTTCTCCTCCTCCTTTTCACAACACGCCTCAACTGTTTCCTCAATCACGCGATCGGAATTTCTAGATTCCAAGTTTCGGAATACTTGTTCAAATTCCGCTTCCCCCTTACGATCACGACCACTCGAATTTGAACCTTCGAGTCCGCCGCAATAACACGTCGTTCGCACTACGACGACATCTGTAACAATCGATAAGGATGGCAATGTTAAATCGCTTTCTCTCTTAATCGTCTTGGACACATCACTCGAGATCGGTGGTAAAGTTAAATTACCCGAGCTGTCCTGCTCGTTAAATTCGTACACGTTGTTTCTCTGTGTTGTGTATCTGCCCGAAGACGATCTTGTAACAACTGACGGAAGTACGACCGAACTACTCGTCCTGGCATCACGATCCAAGATATTCCCCTGCGATAAATCGCATCCTACTCCTCTCTCTACATCCTCCACGTCCTTTGATTCTTCCTCGTTCTTCTTTCCCAATCGGAAATTTAATTTTCCCTCCATCTCTTCTGCATTGAGAAATTTTCCTTCCAATTTCTTCTTCTTTCTTCGCTCATCATCTTCCACCACAGTTGTCCCTTGCCAATCTTCCATATTCCAACTAGTTCCACCACCACCACCGCCATCACCCTCTACACTAACGAGTATTCTTTCTTCTATTACACCGGACTCGTCCTTTCTTTCCTTCGAGCAGCTATCCTCGTTCACGAGCGATCGACTTCTTCTTCGACCAGCAATTATCTGCCAATTTTCTTCATCTCTTCTACCTCCAAAGTAAACTTGTCCTCCGTTGATTTCATCAGCGCTCTTTTGTCGTTTCAATCTCACCTCCGTATTTCGGTAATAACGACTTCTGTTACATTTCTCTTCCGCATTTCTTCTTGTCGTATACTCACCTACGCTCGCATAGCTATACAATTTTTCACGATTTTCTCGACGTTTAATGTTTCCGGCAGACGAAGATCGAACAAGTTCACCATGGCTACTGATTTTATTCGAGAGTCGCGGCGCCGATAAACCTTGCCCAGAATAATCGGCCATTTCTTTCCCCCCTTTCGCCTTTCTATCTATTTGTAAATTACCATTCCAAATATATTTATCTTTTTTACCATCATTTCCACATTCATATTTCTTAAATACCTTCACTGTTCGATTTATAGACCAACCACTTCCATTTATTACCTCTCTCTTTTTTCTCGGCAGTTTTCTCATCGTTATCATCGACGTCATTCGTCGTTCCTTTGCCATCGTTGCTTCTTCCATCCAATTACCGTACTTACGGCGGCTACGATTTTTATCACCATCATCGTCGTCGTCGTCGTCGTCGTCGTCGTCATCGTCGTCGTCGTCGTCGTCGTCGTCGTCGTCGTCGTCGTCGTCGTCAGGATCATCGTTATTACATGTGGTCCAACCGAGACAAGGATCTAGTATCTTTGAAACGATTCCGGCGGCACGCGATTCCTTATCCCTTATTTCGACCAATCCTTCAAAGTGTTCAGCCGCGAATGTGTAAATATCTCGGGGTCGTTGTCGTAAAATTTCTCGTGCGAGTCCTTCTATCGCGGGAGCTAAGCCTCGAGGTATTTGCGGTGCGATTACATAATTCCTTCTCGACATTCTTGTCAATTTTTTTTTGTACAAACCTGGTGAAACGTTACACCCAAAGCCACTTCAGTTTTCATGTGTATTTTCCTTTCTTATTTCCCTCTCTACCTCCCAATTCCAAATCTCTTTCTCACGGAACAAGTAACGAGGGTAAACTAACAATACGACGTTTCCAATCAAATATGCAACTATTGCCAAAGAATAAGCGTCGCGCAACAATTCATCACCAAGTATGTACTAAGAGTGAATAGAAACATGTAGATTGTAAACCGTGTATTACGTATGTATACATTGCACGAAATCAATTCAACGTACCATACATCTCTACTTTCACTTTCGTTATCCTTAATGCACTGGTTAATTCTTCACCAATCACGTGTATCAAAATAACGAACGATCAATTAATTATAGGTTTCCTTCGAAAATTCATTTTTGCGGTTAGAAATCGAATAAATTCTTCGGTTAAATTTCTCCACGATATCGATCGCCTATTCCCTGCCAATAGCATTGTCGTATCTCTAAGTATACTTCGTTCATATTCATTTTGTCCGTAAGAAGTTATGCGTAACATTTTTCAACCTTACTCTCTTTCGTAACACACGTATAACTAAATATTTTTCTAAAATCATACTATAAAAGTTGTAAAATGGTACGATCTTTCTAGTAGTTGTAAATTCGATCTTTCTTTCACCGTTGCTAGAGAAGAAAGTTAGTAGGTTTTCTAAATGAACATAATAATCAACACCCGATTAACAATGTATACCTTCTCTTTGTTCTATTTTTATTCATTCCAACAATGCGTCATATTTTTATTTACACATATATCCAGTTATAAATTCTGAT